GTTTCTGTTTTAACTGCGACATGACCTCATCTGTTAAAGACAGCACACCACTACTAGTTGTTTCACTCAGGAAACGCAGCGCTGAGTTGATTTGGCCTTCCAGTACAAGCTTAGCAAAAACCTTAGATCTATCGGGCGGTTCCGACGCCTTGAGTTTTCTGATACGACCTTGAATAATTCTACGTTCGTGTAATAACTTATTAATTTCACCTTGCCTCCAAAGTATTAGGCGCTTAGACAAGACATCTTGATGATCTTTTGCCTTAGACTTCTGGCTTGGCTTTTGGAGCCCTACAGCGAGAAGCACAAAAGCTGCTTTCAGAGATATGTGCTGATGGTCGGAACCACTATTCCAGTCATTAATATGCCAAGTCACTTGATCAATAAAATCCCGTCCTACTTTCCCATACGGTACAAGAAATACGTTTTTTCTCCAGGTTGCGATCTCGTTGTAAGCATCTGTTATGACTGACGTCGATATAACAATTGCATTACCATCGCTTCGTTCCCCCCAGTTGATCATAGATGGCTTGTAAATGGTGGCGATAATCGGAAACTTTTGGCTATTAACAATTCCAAAAAAAAGCTGCTTTAAACATTTTAAGAAATTATCTTTGCCTCCGAGAAAACGTGACCGTACCGTACCGTGACTTTGCAGCAACTCTACCTCCCAGTAAATTAAACTATTTACAAACACGAGAAAATGCCATCAAAAACTTTTCAACCCATTTAATATAGTCAATAACAACATCAACTCAACTTTAAAACTAAAGAGAAAACTTGATTGATGTTTGGAATTGATTCCTGAGATGTAAAAATGAAATCCAGGTATTATCTCAAGTTTTCTACATATGTCTTCGTGATCGAATCCTAAGTCTCTCTTTGTCATCAAGTTTTAATCATGACATTTTAGCTCTAGCTTGTCTTCTGTTAAAGCAAACTTTTGCAGCGCAAAAAACATGTTAGACAAATTTTGTACTTCATTAGCTAGAGTTGCTAAGATTATGGGAAGTTAGCTTAAAGAAACCTACATTATAAGTAGTGACAGCAGAGGTTACCGAATCAAATAACATAAAGAATCTTAAAAAGACGCCGTGTATTTCCAGCCAGAGGACAATCATAAAACAATAATAGCCAAAAGAGGAAAAGTTATGAGAAATTACAGGTTCAAATACGAGTTGAAAATGACTTTTCTTTTTATTTTTTACGCGAAATAAAGGAGGTTGAAACGTTAGGGAAATAATGGTGGGGCAAGATGTGATACCTGGCAACTTCAAGAGAAGATATAAGAAAAGTGCATACGATTCTGGCGTCTTGATTTACTAATTCACTGTTATCACGTGTATACTCTTCAATCGATTAGTGAAGTCTAAACTCGAAGTAGTTTATCGTCGTTTCTTTCAATTATGGCTCATTTTCCCAAACCAAAATTATCAGTCACGCTCAAAAGAATATAATTTGAACTGATGCTGACATCGCACACTTCCTCTGAAGAAGAAAAGATTCTCTGTCTTCGAAAATTTGCTCAAAAACATCAGGAACAACAACGAAGGTCCTCAGCTGCCCGAAGATACCGCTGAATAGCATGCATTTTATCGCAAGTTTCCAGACCTCGCCAATTCTTCCCTTCCCTTCCCACCCCACCGACTGGTCTCTTAATCCCCTTGAAGAAACTCTTCTACAGCCAGTGCTGAAGAGTTTTATTACAGTTTTTATTATAATGAGGGGTTAGAAAATAAACTAATAAGAGCTCCGCTTTTGGGCTTGGCTAAATCTATATATTAGATATGTCATATACTTATAGAAATACGTCATTAAATCAAACCAAATCAAAACAATAGAGCTTATTTATGTTCGCGGGCATAAATATGTTATGACTGGGTCCAAAGCATGTATTTATGCCTAGGAACATCTACTCTATTATCATTATTACTATTACTTTTGGGGGCATTAAGAAAATAAACACTGAAATAATGGCAACGAAATAGTATGAATAATCACGCGAGCGTGCGAGCAGGCTACACTATATTTTTACCCGCCAAAGTCTCCATTTTAGCAAGACAGCAGAATGCGCCACAATGGGGTTAAAATCGCGGGTAACTCAATAGAAGGTGTCATTTAGACAGGTAACCTCTTCCGCAGTGATATAATTCTAAGAGAAAGTCCCATGATGTTTTTATCGTGAAAAGAGAGTGAAATACAGAGTAATTTACGCCCTCCGCTTAAGGCTCAAGTTATCTAAGGCGGAGATAAGGAAAGACAATTCAACACTAAAGGATAAGAAGAAACTGTTATTGATTGAATTGGTGTTCGATGGTTTTTTTTCCTTTATCAGCATCCTCACAGGCAAGTTTTCCACCCTTTGTTCTTTGCTCGTAAATCATTTTAATTTCACAATCTTCCATATTGGTGTTCTTACAGCTCTATGTTTTGCTGGTGTGAATGGGGTATTAGTTTGCAGTTTGAGAGCATGAGAGCATCTCTAACCATTATCCACTTACAGGTATAAAGTTAGTTTTCGTGATATCCGTCTTGGAATTAAAATAATTCGAGGGGAAAGGTAAGAACAAGACTTCACACGCTTAGATAAAGGGAAAAATGAATTTAGAAACAGACAGAGTTCTCAAGCGGAACAAAAGAGCCGTGGGTTGATTAGCAAAATGGAGGTAAAAAACCATTTCGCGGTTACGCTAAGTGAACACCTCCTTAACTTGTTCGGTTTTGGTTAAAAAAAGTGCTTAAGTCGAAGGATCAATATAGTGCATTTTAGCACTTTGGGCCACAATTGTCGACAACGGGCAATCAATTCATCTATTATATACTGTACCCTTTGACCTTGACAACTTCATCCTATAACTATTACTGATATGAAGCAGATAAGAAGCAGAGACAACGATTTTGTATATAATAAAGGTTTGAAATAAAGTTTCAGCTCACGTATCCAATATAATCCAATTCAGTTTGCTTTTGCTGTAATCTTTTTTCTAGAGAAAATAAAAGGAAAAATCGTACCTTCTTTTCCGAGAACAGCACACATCATAGTCACCACGAAACAGATTATTTTTAAATTTATGATGTAACAAAGGCTGTGTAACGTCTTTGTTTAAGATTTGCAATTGAAGACTTCTTAATGAAATTCAAAGACAAGCTCTCACATTGTTAAATCTGCTTCATTACGTTTTATTGCAATCATCCCACCCCAAGCCGGTCACCTGTGAGACTTGAAACTTTAGATATTGATAGAGGTTTGACAGTCTGTCATTTAAGGTTAATGCTAGAATTAAGCCTTTGCTCAAAAGATGAGCGCAACACGTTGATAACTGTGTGTCACCAGGCGTTCTAGTTAAGGATTTTCAGAACGGATAGAGGAGCTCAAAAGCATTACCCCACACTTTCATAGTAGAATGAAATTACAAAATTCTGCACCCTCTAAAGGAAAACTCCACTGTAGAACAAATCGTCCTTAAATTATAAAAAAACAAACTTTGGAGATAAACTCTGTTGACATAAAAAAAGGTACGGGTCCTATTTAAGCTGGATTTTTATACGCGCCGCCATTTTGGATGATGTGCCCTTATAGGACAAAAAAAAGTTTTTTTTTTGCTTCTGATGATAAAAGTGGCAGCCGTGTTACGGGAAATTCAAATATCATTTTGTTTGTATTCCTTTCTAATTTTCTTACTTTCCCATATGTTCTTGTTTCACAAATTTTTCTTAGAATCTTCGTAACACAAGAACTTTTCCATGCAGATTAACGGAAGCTTGTGCTGACTGTGGAGGCCTCTTTAAAAACGATTTCTTCCTTGAGTAAATTTTAACTTTACCAGTTTCCGTTATGATTTTCACCTGAGCGCTGATGCAGCTCTAGGAGTGGCATATAGCAAAACTGGTTTTCTCCCTCGGTAAAGGTGATTAAGAACATGTTGGTTGGCAAACGGCGACTCCAAATTACCCACTGAAATGTCCGCCTCTCTGATGAATGGAGCCACGTCATTGAAAGTATCATTGTACGTATGGTACTTGTGGTCAACATAGTATTTGATGGGGCCAGCAAAGGAAATATCTCCCACGAACAGTAATATAACTTCACCTAAAATGTTCAAAGGAGGCAAATAGGTTGATATTACAATAAATATAACAATAACATTCAGTTTCGAGATTTCTTTCGCGTGATTGTTGATAATGGCGACGCCCAAATCAACTATCAAGCATGCAGATTCAGATTTTCGAGATTTCGTACTATTCTTAAAATGTATTGTGTTATTCCTAGAAACCTGTCATAATATGAATGAAGAGAAATAATAAAAACAAAAAAGGAAACCCCCGTGAAATAGCGGGTGACAGTCAATCTACTTACTTTGCTCACCAGGAGATACCATAAAATCTTTTTCTCACTTCGGTCGTGGAATATATAGCGCGTGTTGTTGCTAATCGTATCATTCATTAAGGAACGATCGGTAGATTCATAAAAAAAATCATATTGTAATTTCATCAAAATCATGTGTAGACAAAAAAAAAAAAAAAAAACGGTGTTTGTGAAGCTAAACCCTGAGTTGTCATTGTCATTCACGTAACACCCTGAAATCGCTATGAAAAGTTTTTGCTGTGGAAATATGATGAACCTAAAAATCTAACTTAAGAAGAAAATCTATTTTAAAAAAGTAAGATATCATTATGAGCAACCCTACAAGCAACGAACAAGATTTCTTTTGGAGCGCTTTGCTTTTGGAATGTGTAGTTTTCACCCCATTGGAAGTTTCAGCCATCTTTCCGAGTTTGCCTCGTGAAATAAAGCGAGTTTACCAGAGGAGTTAGGTGAAACATCGGCGAAAGTTGTCCGGCACAACTTTCGATCAGTCAACGGACCAGTCAAAGGAGCTATTTACATCAAAACGGAAATAAATTATGCAAATCTTAATCGCGGGAGAAAGTCGCAAATAGACTTAGCTGTGAACTGTTTCTGATTGTTTGGTTCCTATCTTACGTCAAGAAAAGAGAGCAATGACGGGATAAAATTACGATTTATGATTACTTTCCAATTCTCAGTTGAAAACTGGAATATTTTCTTCTTGGTGATTAACGTTTGATGGCATTTTCGGTTTTTGACTACCTGTCCGTACAGGTGACTGACACCTGCCGTTTTCTTTACAAGTACCTGTTATCGCATGTTCAACTTTTAGCTAGCACAGGACGAAATTGCAAGAATCCGTAAACGGAAACGTGGCAGAAACATGTAATACCGTTCCGGAAACACGACGGATAACCTGTGTTTCCGTTACCGGTTTCGTGACGTTTTCTCGCGTTTCCGTTGCTGCGTATACAACGGAACCGGACCACTTTTACGTAAACATAACGGAAACATGGAGTTGCATGTTTCCGCCACGTTTCCGTTTACGGATTCTTGCAATTTCGTCCTGTGTAGTCATCCAGTTCGATAATTTCGCCCGAGTGACTCCAGTTACTTCGAATACGGTCGCCCCACATATTTTCACCAACCGGAACATTGCTATCTGACATCGCTAAGCCTTCCACTAAAATAGCGGCTAAAAAAATTAGCTCTAATGCGACCGTTTCCCTCCGTTGCTTGGAACCTTTATGCGGGTTATACCTTGCAGGTGTCTGGTTGTTCTCTCTTGATGATATCTTACCTGATGAACCAAAACCAGAGGCAGACCCTTTGACATATTTTGCTCGGTTCTTGCTTCGGTTTTTAGAATTCTTTTTCCGTGAGAGCGAGGTGGAAGCCTGTTGGCTAGTTGCTAACTGGTGAAAATCAACACAGTCAATGTTGATGCATCCAATGTCACATTTCCAAAAGCTGTCCATCACATCGAGTGGTAAAATCTCGAAATCCCGAATCTCTTCCTCGTCAAGACTGTAGTGTAATTCTTCACAGAAAACGGGGACTACTGCTCGATCAGCGTCAGAAGTACGGACTACCGTTATAGCGAACAACATTTTACATTTCCGGCCTGATTTTAAAATAATCGTGTCATGAATATTGTAGTCATCTTTTTGGCAATCTCCTTACCAAGTGTAGTTATCGGGAATAAAGGTAAGACACACGGACATAATTTTAGTAACCAAACTCTAAAAACGTGCTCCTGACCAACAATTTAGTATTCGGACTAAACATTAATGGTAATTCCAAATAATTCAGTTATCACTAAATTTATTTAACGCACAATGGAAGTCTTTCAGAAAACTGTTTACTCGCCCATGAATCACCAAACCATGGATTGACATAGAATCGATAACTCTGATGAATCGCACCCTTTCTAAAACAGACCGAGCGCTCATCTCGACCAAAATCGATCTTCACCGGGTATCAGTCAAATAATTTCTGTAACTATACCCTAGACATAGTACAAAGCCTTGTTCTTAACGCGTACAAATTCAAATTTCCCTTGAAGCCTTTGAGGGTTTCACTCTTGTCTTATTAGTATCGATAAGCGGCCTTAATAAGGCTAAGCATTTTTTCGTCCTTTCTTATTTGCAGAGCATGTATCCTTGATTTTCGTGGGAGATATTTATTTCGCTGGCCCGGTCAAATATTACGTGGAGCGTAAGCGTTACACATACAATGACTCTTTCAATGAAGTGGCTCCATATATCAGAGATGCTGATATATCTGTGTGTAATTTGGAATCTCCATTCGTCAACGGAGATGTTTATACCCACATGTTCAGAGGTGAAAAGACAGTTTTACTCAGTGCTAACAAGGATGCTGCATCATCGCTGAGGTATACGAGATGAATTTACCATAAATCCCTCGCCGGACGACGCTTATAGAAATATTTTTAAGTAAGAGACCAGTATTTACATCAAGAGAGGATCAAATTACTCTCTCTTGTCATTGTTTTCAGGGGAAATGGGGAACAAATCAGTCGTCGCCAACAAAGTATAGGAAAAGGTGGCTATTCATAAGAATATTATAGAGCCTCATGGTGGATCAGATAAATTTCATCGGGACACAAGCTAATTAGAATTGTTGAAAATAATCTGATATTAAATTGGCTTCACTTCACTTTATCGTATTAATTGTTGGTGTGGGAAACCTTCTCTACTTGCTATATCAGTCGCGAGTTGTATATTAACGTTTTACCGCGCTTCTTGTTATTAATACCGTTTTTATTGGCTCCTTGCTCTATCAACCTTTGTAATGACCGACAGTTGTGGTTATTATAGCTTTGTTACAATATCGCTGACAGTGCCCAAGAAAAATATGAAGCAAATCCTTCGTTCTAATTGGCTATCTGAGCGGGAAAGATTTGCCCATCTTTCGTTTGTTGTGTTTTATAGACCTCGACTTCCTCTCGGTTCATAATAACGCAGAAAAAGAACTCAGTCAATTTCCAGCCATCTTGACCTCACGCATATATCGACGCGTAATGGAGGGTCTCAATGGGGTGATAGCTTTTACGATTACGGTTAACCCAAAATGACACAAAATTACTCACTGGAAAAATGAAACATTTTTGTGGTTATTTTCTTTTTACCAGCTATTTGGGGAGTTATAAAAGACTCGATAGTAACGTCGTCCGTGTCGTATAACTCCACCAGTATTCTGCTATAATCGGTTCAGAGGGACGAATTTCACGACTCTGACAGCTTGTTTATTTTTTTAAATTTTGCTCAATAACACCTACCCCTAATAAAAGTTCACACATTAAAAAAAAAAAAATCATACCGTTTTGGCTAAAGTTGTAGTTGAGTCAGTTTACAACTGTTCTTAAGTGCACGTAGTCTTGACAATTTGTTCGTCCTGTAGTTTTGCAGGATTTAATGCTGTAACACTCGCCAATAATCATTTAAACGATTTTGGAGCCGAAGGAGCCAATTTTACTGCGGAAGTACTTAAAGAGACAGGAATACCATACTTTGGGATAAGTTTTGGCGACTATCTTTCCTCTCAGGTACATAGAAAATAACTGGCTTTAAATTTCTGTCTGTTACACCATATTCTTCTTGTCAGTCTGAAAACTCGAATCATACAGTTTAAGATTATCCTATCCACTGTCTACCCCTAGAAACTCGTATTGGCAATTTTTCACGTAACTTGTTGATTGGTTTCAATTTTCCATTTCTTTAGGAACCACTCATTATGAAAAGGAAAGGAATCACTTTTGGATTTCTCGGTTACTGCGACATGCGATCGCCTCTTAAGAATTGCTCTCAAATGAGAATGTTGTTTACTTCTGGTCCTGCCATTTATCGAGATGACGTTGCCACAAGGGACGTTAACAAGTTAAAGGTTTTAACCACAGTGCTAAAGATAAACTTAACATAAATAATTCTAGCTTTTAAGACGTTCTCACCAGTCCAATTTGTGGTTATCTAGAACTTAGAACTCTACCATAAATGGTGATTTATTAATCGACGAAGTCAAAATGATTTGATTTCCATTTTTTCCATAATGACTCAAGTAAGTTTGTGTGCGGGTTAATTTTGGCGGCGCATTAGCCTCGAAAAATACATCTCAAGTAGCTATTCGCGAGGACCTTTCTGGTAAGCGGGAGGCTAAAATTATATAAACAATAGCTTCCTTTTAGCTCGAAAATGCACTCGGGTATTTGTCCGCGCCTGCTATCTATACCGAGTAAGTCTCGATGAACAGATAATGTCCAAAGAAAAATATTTAAGAACACATTTTCGCTCCAAATATAAGCTATTCTGTTTATTATGTTTCAAATGTTTCTGCAACGTGTGGGAACTTTTCAGTGTAGTACAGTACGACTTTTCGAACATTCAAATATGTCGTTTTTCTGGGAAAAGAGTTAAACGCTCATTCATTTTGATTTAAATTTGAAACGAATGCTTTCATCATAGTAGACGTAAGGTTTCAGAATTGGGGAATGTTGCTTAGGGTATATCCTCAGATGTTTCCCAGTTTTATCTGGGGTATATTCGATCATGTGATGCGTTTAGATCAGTCACGTGCGAGCAAAACTATTTGATGGATTATAAAAACCTACAATTTCAACATCGCTACTCTATTTTTTTCAAAGGCTAAAGTTGACATCATAGTTGTATTCATGCATTATGGAATGGAAACGGGATTAAGACCACTCCCCTACCAGATTGATATCAATAAACACCTGCTGTCTCTCGGCGTGGATATAATCATTGGAGCCCATCCGCACGTGGTACAGGGACATTGTGTCAAACATAACAAGCTTATTGAAGACAGCTTGGGGAATTTCCTATTTCATCCGTGTCCTTATAGACGGGGAAGCAATCCAGTTACGTATTTATCCGTTCAACCTGTTTAATTCTTTTCCTCCCTTTCTTTCTTTTTTCTTATTGTGTTTTAATCCATGTATATTTTTATTATTCTATTCCCACCTGTAGCCATCCTGCATCTTATTTCATAAATTATTTGTGGACCAGCTACTATTTATCACCTAAGGGGGAGGTTTAGGATCACATGGATTTTAGAGGGGAAGGGAGGGGCTATCAGCCGTCGCTTACAGAGTACAAAAGGGCGTACTATATAACATTGACTAGCAATTACCTGCTAACGACGAGAGGTGGGGAGGGGGTTACCATAAGGATATTACAGAATCTCAGGGGCCTCTGGTAAATTTTATTGTGATATGGTGACACGACAAAATCCTCCGACCCTCCCCTCCCTGGGGAGGGTCGGAAGGTCGGATCCCTGATTTCTAATTGGTTTGTTCATTACTTTCTTACCAAGCAAAACATTTTTCCCTTCCTGCCCGTCAATTGATGCATTGCTCCCTTTTTTTCTCGAAGATTGTGTATGGAGGTTTTGGCAAAAAGCCGAGTGAAGTTGATATTGAGTCCTACGAGCATTACGCCTTTGGAAATAGCAACGACTTAAGAATTTCCCGGATGCTCAAAGTCAACGTTTCAAGGTACAAGTCACAGCTGTTTATTATTCATCATTTAATTAATTGTTTTCAATAAAATAATTGTTTTCCTAAGAAATAGACTTCTTACCGGAAAATGTGGCTCAATTCATTTTTTTTTTCACTAATTTTAAAATAATGTCCTTTATTTTCATGTCGTAGGAAAGGTGTGGTTAATGCAAAGTATTTGCCTCTTAGAGTCAAATTTAATCACAAAACCAAAAGACTTCACCCTGAGCCTGAAAAGAATGCTCAATGGATTGAAGTCTGTGGAGCTGAGGACGATAAATGCCAATGTCGCAACGAGATCATTGCGACCAGAAAAGTAGCTAGCAAGCGCCTTATATATAATTAGTTAATTACTCATAGGGTTATATTTCTTCCCTATGAAAGGAGAGAGGTTGCATTGTCAAGGTCGATGACAAAGAACATAGAGAATTTAACTATACTTTATTACATAAAATGTGGTGTTTTACAAGGTGTTTAACGAGGACTTAGAAAAAACCATTATTGTAAAATAGCTCTAATTATTTACGCGTGTTTGATATAGCTAGTAAACTGCCGACACTTCATCAGCTTTTCGCACCATGTAAAATGTAGTTTTGAAGATGAAATAAAATATCATATTGTTAGGTAAGAAATTTGTTTTAAATACTATTTAGAAGTTTAAGTGTTTTTAGATTGACTTCTTTCAGAGAGATTTGATCCTAATTCTTGAGACATTTACAGTGTTGATCTTCAGCTCCGCATACAGTGATCCATTTTGCGTTCTTTGTGGGTTCAGGATGCAGTCGCTTATTTTCTTCATCGAAAGCGACTTTCAGTGGAAGATACTTTGCTCCCACGACGCCTCTCCTATAAAGAGAGACGATTGAATGAAACTGAAAGAAATTGAAAATATACAAACTATTTTCTCCTTATTGAAAATGATTGCTTGTAACTGATTATTCCGATCAAAATCGCGAGAAAGTCTCATTTAAAAATATCGCTGTTTTTGAAAACACGCTGTTTCAGTTAGATGTACAAAGACATCCAGAGTACTGCTGTCTCATATTACATCTCAGCTATTGTTCCAGATCCATTTGCCAGTTTTCATCAAAAGAATATCAACTATTCGTATTCTCTCGTTTTCAGACATTTTTTTTTCTTTGTATGATATCTTTATTACCTTTATATTTTTCTGTATCACCAAAAAATAAGTTTGTTCTGTACATGTATTCACGAATTTGACACTCGATTAAAAAAAAGCCCTGTTATTCTACTTAAAAGTAAGTTTTGGCACTTTTTTAACTGAAACAACCCTTTTAACCAAAACGTTATTTGTTTCCTTCGGACCCAAAATACTCAAATAATGTCCGATCAACGATTGATGATTCTTTTCACTGCCTATAGCTGACAACAGTTTACAGACATAGACTGCTTAAGTGAAACATCCAAAGAACTTCTTTGACACTCGAATGTCATATCCGCCTTTCAATAATGACCAACCATTCACATTTTTCATAACTATCTCACTCTTCCTGTATCACTCTTTAACCCCTACACGTATTCTTCAGATTTCTCTTCATGGACAAAGGTATCATAGCAGCTAACATTAATGCATCTTTCAGATGCCAGACCACCGCTTTCTTTTTGTTTAAGTTGATGCTTGAAGATGAAAAATTTGATTGTGGTTTAAAGAAGCCCTGGAAAATAAGATGCAAAGTAGCACTATACCTTGAAACGGTGACTTTAAGCATCCGGGATAGTTTCAACGCGTCGCGGTTCCCAAGGACAAAGTGCTCATATTTCTTAATTAATTGTTTATTGGGTTTCTTGCCAAACATACCGTAAACGTTCTGAAAAACAAATTGAACATGGATATAGAAACTTGGAAGTACCGTCAGAGGATTTAGTCAAGCCTGCAAAAAAAAACTAAGTAGGAGCGAGGAAAATAAACGATAAACATACAAGTACAAAAAAGAAAAAAAAAAAACAAAAAAATTGAAGAAAACGGAAAAAGAGAAGTATGAAAAAAAGGGAAATGAACGCAAGGAAATGATAAATTATGTATGATGTTGAAAGAGTAATTTTCTTTGGAATATAGCAGTAGGTAGAGGTAAAACGTATCTCTTCAAATATTTATCCCAAAAGCGAGTTTAAAACCTTTCACCTTGCTTACTACATCTTTGCATGAAAAAAGCCCCTTTCTATATTGCCGATCTAAGCAGTATCCTCGAAGCTAGTTTGCCAAATATGAACTTAGTATGGCCTGGCTTGAAGAATTCCCTTCCTTTCATTTGGATGTTCGGTGTTAAATAGGAACGTCCGACTTTCGAATCATTACACGAGACGTTTAATATTTTTTTCTTTTCCCATACTCGAGAAAGACTGAAATATTTGGGGAGAGGTCGTAAGGATCGGGCATGGCGAGTTGTTTACGTCGTGTCAACCACCCAAATATTTTCCCACTCGGTCTTTCCATTCAGTCAATAGGTACTTGTAGTCACTGGTTGAACCATACGAATGCGTTACCGGATCAACAGCACTTGGTGGTTGGTTAGTATGAAAAAGAAAATTCCCCAAGCTGTAAGCGATAAGTTTATTATCTCGAAGACAGTGATCCTGAAGAACGTGCGGATGAGCTCCAATGATCATATCCACCCCAAGAGACATCAGGTGTTTGTTTATGTGCTTTTGGGAGGAGACGGGTCCTAAAGTGAGCTCTTCACCATAGTGCATGAAAGCGACTATAATGTCAACTTTGGCCTATGGAAGTAAAACAAAAAACAAAACATGAGGTAAAGCATAACTATACAATACGCGTGTTATAGAATGACTAGAAGGATAGATTCTTATTGTATTCAAATAAAAGATGATGATATGAACTGCACAGAAATCAAGTTAAAACTCGAAGTGGATTATGAATAAATTGTTTCGGGGAGCAGGGATGGCGCAGCATCGTGAAGATTGTCACACTGACTTGAGTTTGTCTTTGGTTTTCACCCTGATCCGAGGGCTTTTCTCCAGGTCCTCCGGTTTTCCTTCCTCCACAATATCAACATTCTAAATTCCAATTCGACAAGGAAACAGTGGACAAGAAAGCTACCTCGTGGAATGTCCACTGCTATATCTCATTATTATTATTATTATTATTATTATTATTATTATCATCATCATTATCGATATTATCATTATTACTATGTTTTTAGCCGCACAGGTTAAATTTGCAAGCCAACCAAAGATCATCTCGTTCCTAATACGTGGCTACCTTAGTTCGGCCAGGTTGGTAACAACGTCCAACTACTAACTATAGCCGCAGGTTCTATCACGCAGAAGATGGCATTTTCTTCTTGTTTACAGTTTTTCACAATTTGAATAATAACTCATTCTTTACCTAAATGCTACGTTAAGCTGGCTTAAGAAGAAAATTATGTCATTTATAATTCTAAGCCTTTCCCTTCTACGAACAAAAGGATAAATAAATTATTTCTTAACTTTCAGTTAGTGTAGTTTTCAGTTGAGTTTCGGATTACTAAAACCAAAGGTATCACAACAGTCAATATGAGCGATGTTCAACATCATTATTACCTAACGAGAACACAAAATATAAACAGGTAACCTGCATGAAACGCAGGTAAATGCTGATAACTAAATCATGATTGAAGTTGAATCTCGTCGGTTAAAAGGAGGCGCAAATTTTTTGGACCAATCACAAAGCGAAGTAAAGCAAAACCAGAGTAATCCTGGATCAGTTTCGACACTCAATTAAAAACTACCCTGATAATCATAAAGCTATTAAATTTGAGTATAACCTTCTTTAGCCTCCTGATGTCTCTAGTAGCGATATCATCTTGATAAATGGCGGGACCCGAGTTGAACAACTTCCTCATTTCGCTGCAGTTTTTATTTGTGGAGGGTATTGCACAATAACCGAGGAATGCTATAGTGATTCTGTCTCTTTTAATAATGAGAGGTTCCTAAAAAATGACAACAAAAATATTGATATCAGCTTAAAACTGGTTTAAGATGTATCTGTTAAGATCTAACAGGAGTAAATGTAACGTTAACAGCGAGAGATACTGCTGTATGGAATTTAATATGGGCTTGTTTATATTGAGGTGGAGGACCCTAGGTAGGTCAGATGACCTGTCTGTTCATATATATAACCTCTTATTTTATCTTGATCATGTTTACATAGTAACTGGAGAAACCCGCCTAGCCGGATTACCCGGTCTGCTGTGGAAGGTAACCCTGTCAAAGGCATTCCCAATTTTCCTCAAACTTCTCAAGATGCAATAACCCACCTAGCCAAGGTTGCGTTCACGTTACATTTGCAAGCGCGCTAACAACCTCTCCCTGGCCTCAATGTGTACTGGCCCTAAGAGTACCCAAATGTTGCAAATGAGCTACAGTACACCTGTCTAAATTGATAAATTGTGAATCGCCCGTTAAGCCGACCGACAGTTATGACACCTTCCTAAACCCTGTCGGGTAAATAATCATTAACTGTGATGGTTACACAGTATACGTCTCGTTGGAAAGATTTGCAGCACTCTTCTAGACGCTCCCTTGCTGTTCACAAATCCATTCGGTTATTAATAATATCCAGGTCACACGATATTTATTCAACATTGAAAGCTTAGCAAAAATGTCTAAAATGTTAAACACATGTAACATAGTTGTATTAGTTTGAGATTAAATCTCCATGCTTTCGCTAAATATTCTTTCATCTCGTTTCCAGGAAAACGGGGTTTAAAACAATCCGTTAGTGTACCTGAGAGGAGTCATATTTTCCCAAACTTATTCCAAAATACTTTATACCCGTCTTTTCCAGGACTTCAGTGGTAAAATTGGCTCCTACACCGCCTAAATCGTTCAAGTGATTGTTGGCAATAGTCATGACATCAAATCCTGCAAACCTGCGTGGAGGATCCAAGAGTATAACTATCGGGTATGTGTAATATATACCCTGCTATTAGGCTTGAAAACTTCTCATTGCAAACGAATAATTCAGACTAGGTCCTCACTTCTGAGATGGCTGAAGACGGTGCTAAAATAATATTTCGCAAGTTACTTTCATATTCTTCCATGTTATGAAATTCTTTTATCGTATTAATGAAATTTGTTACTATATTTTTTTAAAATTTAGTTTGGGATTTACTTAATTAGTATTGATCAGATTCACTTCAGGACAAGCAATAGGCGGGCGGAATTAATGTATTTGCACCTGTTTATTTATTAATTTTTTGATGTAGTTTGTTTTGTTTTATTTTTTTAACTGATGTAATGCAAACCTTACGATAATGATCTCAGATCAGTCTTAGATTCAAATGTTATTTTGAACATAGAATCATTTCTTCCAGCTGTTGCTCATCTCGAGACACAACAGACGGTATGAAAAGAATCGATACTGAATGTGAAGGCGATCTTGGCAGTGATGAACACTACTTAAGCAGTAGTGAAAATAAGGCGAACAGAAATTTCAAATACCGAAAATAAATTTTCAAATCCCGCACAGGCCTTATTTTCACCACTTCTTAAGTAGTGTAAAAACCGCAGCTCACATATATGATTTTCATATAATTTTATTCACAGTCATTGAATGTTATTAAAAATGAATAAAGGGGGTAAATTTCTAAAGAAACTGCGCTGCTTTGTCTGTGGCAGGATATAACAAGATGATTTGGTTTGATCGACTGAGTTGACGATGTTAATTGGCCACCGTAAAGAGTTTATAAAGCTGACGTTTCGAGCGTTGTCAGAGGGAATAACTAAAAACTTATGCTCGTCAGCTTTAGACTCTCTTTATATCGTTGAACGGTTTACTTACGGCACAAATGGGTTGGATGTTGGTTTAATGCAGCTCGAACGAAAAGAGGAGCTCAAATGCATTATCCCGCACTTTCATAGTAGAATGAAATTACAAAATTCTGCACCCTCTAAAGGAAAACTCCACTGTAGAACAAATCGTCCTTAAATTATAAAAACAAACTTTGGAGATAAACTCTGTTGACATAAAAAAGGTACGGGTTCTATTTAAGCTGGAATTTTATACGCGCCGCCATTTTGGATGATGTGCCCTTATAGGACATAAAAGAATTATTCAGCGTCTGATGATAAAAGTGGCAGACGTGTTACGGGAAATTCAAATATCATTTTGTTTGTATTCCTTTCTAATTTTCTTACTTTCCCATATGTTCTTGTTTCACAAATTTTTCTTAGAATCTTCGTAACACAAGAAATTTTCCATGCAGATTAACGGAAGCTTGTGCTAACTGTGGAGGCCTCTTTAAAAACGATTTCTTCCTTGAGTAAATTTAAACTTTACCAGTTTCCGTTATGATTTTCACCTGAGCGCTGATGCAGCTTTAGGAGTGGCATATAGCAAAACTGGTTTTCTCCCTCGGTAAAGGTGATTAAGAACATGTTGGTTGGCAAATGGCGACTCCAAATTACCCACTGAAATGTCCGCCTCTCTGATGAATGGAGCCACGTCATTGAAAGTATCATTGTACGTATGGTACTTGTGGTCAACATAGTATTTGATGGGGCCAGCAAAGGAAATATCTCCCACGAACAGTAATGTAACTTCATCTAAAATGTTCAAAGAAGGCAAATACGTTGATATTACAATAAATATAATTTACAATAACATTTGGTTTCGAGATTTCTGTCGCGTGATTGTTGATAATATAGACTAAGGTTTTTTAAAATCTCGTGCTATTTTTAAAATGCATTCTTGTTTATTTTTTCATGATTACATTTATGATAATAAGTAATGGTAATAGGACTGAGTGGAGTCCATTTCGGTTTGTATCCATACGAGTGATAACAAAATCAATAAATACGTGAATACTTGTAACTCTAGAAACCTGTTATAATATGAATGAAGAGAAATAACAAAAACAAAAAAGTTAAACCTCGTCAAAAGCAGATAGTAAGTCCACTCACTTTGCTCATTACGAAAGACTATAAAATCTCTTGTTCGCTTTCGGTCGTAGAATAGACTGCGAGTTTCGCCGCTAATAAGATTGTACCATTCGTTAAGGAACCATGATCAGTATATTTATAAAAAAGAAGTGATAAATACAGTACTAAAAAAAATGATAACATCTTAAAATACGACCATCAGCCTTTCTGACTTCTTGTTCAAGGTGGCTCGAAATGCTCTCGTTATTTCAACACACCAATTATTTGATGGATCATAGCCATTCCTCAATATTCCTAGAAATTACACTGAAAGAATTTTAAAACGAGTTGGGGACCACCAATTTTGTAAGTGAATTAAAAAGTCATCTTCATGAGCACTTTTTAAAATAAATTTTAAAAATGAATTTATACATAATGTTCGGAGCCAACCGATTTGTGTACAGATTTTGGGCATCGATTATTATAATCCAAGTTATTTACTAGCCAATTTGAGATCGTACGAGAAACGTTTTGAAACTCTGCCATACATCACGCGAGCAATATGCGAAATAAACCTAAGTTCTTAAGAGCGACCGGTCATATTTCTTCGCTGATCAAAAGAATGGACCGGAACGACTACATAATTTGCTTTATAACATAGCGCGCGTGCTTGCCCTTTCTAAGTCCTATTGAGCCACTATGAACAAAATATTTATTTACGCACGCTCGAGCGTAAATAAGATGACGTGAGCATTTTTTTTTCACCTGGCTTCAGATTTTCCTTCCTGTTAAGCTGCAGTGCAGTTTTCCTTCTCTTTGAAATATGGAAGAAACCAGCGAAGAACTGCCCAATTTTTCTATCGGCATTGACCATTTAGATCCTGATCCAACAAGCAACAAAAATAAAGCTGAAAAAACTTGCAAGTTGCACGTTTCGCGAATTTGTCTTGATAACTTCGGGTCTTTGACTTGTAAAATATTTTTTAGTGATACGTGAGTTCCTTGACTTTGATTTTCTCCATTTTCTCCGTAAATTTTGAGCTTTTCGTACACAGTTATCAGTTAACTGGCTCAAATTTTCTGGCTCAAATCAAAGTATAAAACGTGGCGTGTTTCTGACCAGCAATAGGGACGTTTGTTTGCTTTTTTTTTGTGCGTTGTGAGAATTTTGCACTCTATCACAATAAAAGACTTCTTCGCGCAGATCCTTGTCGTCGCTCTGTTATGAAAGAATTTGCTCATGCTTTTAGCTGTGCGTATATCGAGTTATGGATGCACTTGGGAAATTTGGAGAGCAATCGAAAAGCTAGAGCTCTCGGCTGCGCCTCGAGCTACTCTTACGCATTTTTCGTGCTCTCCAAACTTCCCGCGTTCATCCATAACTCGATATACGCACGCTAAGCATGAATAAATTCTTCAATAATTAGCTATAATTTGGTCGTGTACAAGAGTTCAAAATTTACGTGTACTTACTCGGTTACTTAAGCCTAATAAATGATGCCATCATAGAAGGCTAAATATCTTCAAAAAAAGATTTTTCCCACAAAATTCAGTCCGAAATAGTTTTCTCGCGACCAGCTATGAGAAGTTGGCGTTAAGACCGCGTTTTGCTCAATTATACAGGCACCACTTTTAAACAAATGAGCAAGTTTTCAACTTTAGTAAATCGTTGATTTTGAAGAAAGTAAATGCAGACCGACATTCTAAATGCCAATAGCGTACTAAAAGGATTGTTTGGGCTCTGTATGAATAAATTCGTTCCTATGGATTCATACATACCGCCCGAGAAAGGAAGGATTCTTCTTTCTAATAACATTTAATAGCGGGCGCAGCGTAGTCCCATAATTATACGAAATAGTAGGAACCCATCAAGCCGAAAACATTTGGACGTGCGACCGTACGACCGACCGTACAAGGTGCTACTTTTAGCATGTGCGGCCAACTGTGCCACGGGCACTATCTTAGCCATTACGTAATGGGAGGGTGAGGGAGAAGGTCATGCACAGGCGCGATTGCGCGCGTAACTTGGATACCCCATTAGTGTGCGCCAGGAGACACCGGCAGATGACAATGAAGTGCGCATGCTCGAGTGTCGAGCTTCAGTGTAGCGTACCGCGGGCACACGGCTAGGCATTGCACGAAGGCTTCACGCGGGCTAGTGGATGTGAAGCCGCGTAAGCAAATAATTTGCAACCCGCGTTTTGAGCCCGAAATCAAACCAGTGAGGTTGAAGTTGAACAGTAATTCTCAGTATTTTGCAATATCTAATCAACTCGCAAAGCAACAATACCGGCAGAGCTAAAGCTCTATCAACAGGAGGAAATTGTTATGTTTCAAGTTCGTGGAGAGAGGGTTTTGAGTGAAAATAGGATGAAAAGAAAGAGACTGAGCGACCAAAAAAAACAAGAAATAAAAGACGTAAAGCGAGTCGAGAAAAACGCGCAAGAAAGTCAGAGAGGACACCAAAATAGGCAGAATACGGTGAAAGGAACGAGAAGGAGAACAAGAAAAGACATAGGTAAAAAGGCAAATATCTAGCGAAGAGCAACGTGAGAAGGACATACAAAGACGCTCCTGAAAACAGACCGAGAAGAGGTCATCAACAAAGAGAAGCGAACTACAAAGGATCCGACAAAGACGAGGAGGTTAGTCGTGTCTTATCTGGGTTTTCTCTAACGCCAAGGTCCAGAAAAATTCAAACCTTTTTTAACGATAGTAGTTTGATTATGGCTTCAGTTTATAATTAAATCACGTTTCGGTAAAACAATGACTTTGGCCTTCATCGCCTAAAAAACCCTCACGCCGGTTCATCGCTTGAATAACATTTCAAAGTGTTCGTATTTTTCAATGTATTTCTTGTTCTGTCGTTTGGAATGTTTTATACAGTTGTGGTGTTAATGGAAAAGAAGGTTTCTTACGGATTTTGTTTTGTCTAGATAGCTTTCAAATGATAGCGAATGGCGAGCGCCAGTTTCTACCTCTTTCTCTCTTCAATCACCTGTCGCAGGACTTACTCTGTTCATTTAAAAAAATCGCGCTTTGTCGAAGAAGTGATGTTTGAGCCTAAGAACGAAGTGGTAGCCTTTCCCAAAATTGAAAAAAAATTATATTGAGTCAGCGATGTCTATGTTTACATTAAGTCTGACGCGGTAATTTGATTTTGACAATATTGTCATGTGAGAACCCGTCGAACATCTGAGAATTAAATTATGGACCGCAAATGTGTGGTGCGAACAAACTCACGGCTAAAGTGGAATTAGTTCTACTGCTGAATGAGTGAACTTCATTGTTTAGTCATAGTACTTCTCAGCGCTATGTTTTCATGCTTCCTACTCGATTCGTACGAACTTCAGGAAATAATTTCAATTGTCTCACAAAACATGGAGCCACTCTCTCTTCTCTCAACATCTCGAGGCGTACTTACTGCTCGGTTTGTGATGAACATGCTTGCGATACGATATTTTTTTTCCTAATGTGGAAACTGAAGAATCAATATCTGAAGTCGATAGTCATCACATTTTGCAAGAAGCGTCTGAGCTGTGATCGTGTAGTTAAACAGGGTCTTGGCAATTTGAGCTCACATGCACGTTTAAGTTTTTTGCATTTACCATTTCAAAATTCATAAATGGCATTCTCTTTTCATCCATGTAAAGAGATATTACACATTTCTTAAACTAAAATCTGAATCATGAAGTCAACTTAATTTCAATGAGTTTGAAACTTCATTGTACATAAGAACACTTTACATTTCTTTGCTGTCTTTCTGGTACATATGATTACATAACTCTTTAACTTTCAAGGTTTCATCAGCAATTCTCTTTGCTGTCTGCCATACAATTTATGTGATGTTTGGTTGGAGAGTTTGGAATTGGATCAAACATGAAAAATATTTTTTGGTGTGGCTGTTGTTCTTTGTTGATCTTTGTAGCCGAAAAAGCTGGTAAAGGCACTGAACTTCATTTATGTACAAAAGGCACCCTTCAAGGTGGAAGAGTAGAAGACCATAGACTGATGTTTACATGATGTCTATAACCCTTTACACCCTAACATCAGTATGCATATTCTCTATACTGTTCTCCATACATTTCCTGATGTGCTGGCAAGGAGAATTTGTTTAACAATCAAGAGGTTCTTCAATTGATTTAGGGATGATAGTGAAAGGAGAAATTAGATACTAGTCACTCTCAGGAATTAAAGTGTTACTAACTGTACTCATTTTATATGCTCCTTGCATTTGTTGGCAACAATAGTTAGAATTGTTAGGAAAGCAAACAGATCAACAGAAGACCATGAAATCAGAGAAACTGTAAACTTTACGCTATGGTAGAAGAAACGATCACAGAATACTTAAGAAGGGAAAATTGAATTATGTCAGCCAATTTACTCTACTGCCCTTCATGTTTTTGATCAAATAAAATTTAATCAGTTATAGGGTTTGCTTACAATGTGTCAAATCACCAATGTGGACTTGATTCTTCTCAGATGTTAGCTGGTAAAAGATAGATACTAAAAATAGATGACCATTAGAAAATGTACACATCTTTAAAAAAAATCACACTGAACTGGTGGCGTGATTGATTTGTGATATTTAGAATGACAGAAGCAGGAAAAACGCATCAGGCTTTTTCCTATTCATTTGTAAGTTTATTAGATTTTGGATTCTACATTTCAAACTGGGTGAGATTAAATTTATCTATGTAAAATATACAATGTTTATCCACGTCTAACATAGAA